GAGGCGTAATTAACCCACCCCTGCGTCTTGGAGACTAATTCGAGGGTAAGACCTCTAAGTCTCGTGATCATTCCTTTCCTACATCCAACACGTACCTTGTAAAACCAACTATCAGCCAACTAGCTCCAATCGCCGCCCCGCCTATCCTGTCTCTATCCCTAATACCAAATCTATGACTTGCCAAGCCCTAGTTGCTTGTATGTCAACCCACAAATGTCGTGATACTGCTGGCTTTGATTAGGTCAATGTTGAACCACAACGTTTGTGGGTTGGCACACAAGAGACTATGGCATATGAAGTAATAGGCTTGGTATTATAGATAGAAAGAGGATAGAAACAGTGGAAGCTTGAGCTAGCTGGCTAACAATAGTCATGATACAAGGATCATGTTTATGATCAAACAGGTATATTGTTAGCCAAATAGCTTTAGTCTTTCCTGTTTATATCTGTACTATTATGTCCATCGCTTCCTACATCCTAGTCTCTTGTGTGCCAACCCACTAATGTTGTGGTTCTACTAGTTTTGATCAGGCTCACTGAAGACGTCTCATCTTTGCTTCTGATTGTTGCTTTTTCATCCCCCTGCGATCTCTTTTCCTATAATTAAGGATATTACCTTAATCCAGTCTTATTCTTTTTGCTGATCATGCTGTTGCATGGTCTTCTCCGAGTTTGGTTAGGCAATATGCAAAGTTTTCGCTAATCGCACCTTCTTTAAGTCTCCTGTTCATTAGATTTCTCTCGGTCAGTATTTCGATGGCCGCACGGATCTTGCGTTTTCTCGTATTTTCACCAGATGCAGCCAACCTTTCGGTAGATTTCCAGTCGATTTCGTGCTCGGTTCGTGCAATGTGTTCCGCTATTTCTGATCTTTTCGTATCCATGTCCATGCAGAGTCTTTGATGCTCCTTGATTTGTAGGCCGATTTTTATTCCTGTTTCACCAATATACTTCTGCTCACAGTTACCGCATTTGATGCGATAAACTACCGAGGATTCAAGTTTGTCAGTCTTCACGTGCTGCGTCGGCAAACCT